TTATTAGGAAACTGCATTTCAAATGTCTTAAGAAATAAATCTCCAGTCTCTTGGTTCTACAGAAGATTTCTGCCAAATGGTTAAAGAATTAATACCAATTCTGTATACTCAATTCCAGAAAATAACACACTCCTCCCCATTCTTTTCATAAAACCAGTACTACTTTGACAATCAAAACTAAAGATAGTACATCTAAGAAAACTATTATCAGCGTGCATGTAGGCAGCAAAAGTTGTGGATGAAATATTCACAAATTGAATATCTTAGCATTCTGTATAAAGAAATATATACCATAGACAAGTACAGTGAATTCAGGGGCTGCAAACCTGGTCCAGTATTCAGAAATCAATGTAAATCATATTTAAGGTTTGGAGGGAAAAAATAGTGATTAATGCAGAAGTCATTTAACAAAATTCACAGCTCAATGATGATAAAACTAGCAACTATAGAGGCAAACTACTTCAATTTGATAATATACCCAAAAAATCTTTAATATATTTAGAGGTGAAAAAAAAAAAAGCTTTCCCAGAGATTGGAGAAAAGGCAAGGAAAGAAAGAAGAGGCTTAAGGATCATATCACTTCACCTGATTTTGAGACTTCAAAACAGTGTCAGAAGGAAAGAAACAGATTGGTAGAGCAGGATAGAGAACTCAGAAATACAAATGTTGAATGTTTTTGATAAATTGCAAAAGCAATTCAGTGTGGTGTGGTTAATTAACAAATGTTCAGGAACAGTTAATACCCATAAACAAAAGAAAGATCAGTGTGGAATATGGATTTAAGTATAAAATGTTCACACAACTTTTACAAGATAAAACTTAAGAAAAATCTTCAGGAGATAGGGCTTGGTGGAAATTTCTTAGTCTTGACATCAAAAGTATGATGCATAAAGAAAAAACTGTTTATGAAAAGGTGCCTCTTGAATTTCAAAATATTTGTTCTGATAAAAATCTTTTGAGCAAAAGTAGATGACTGGATTAGAAAGATGTGGTACATATATACAATGGAATATTACTCAGCAACCAAAAAAGAGAAACACATGTCTTTTGCAGCAACT